ATTCTTCATGTCTGTCTCCTCTCCCATCCTCTCACTGGCTCAGTCATGGTGTAATGCGAGTATAATGAGTCCATGCTTGCGAACAGTTTGGCTTCTAAAACCCTCACAAATGCTTTGGATTATGTTCTCATTCAAAGGAACAGGGCTGGGACAGTTGCTACAGCCTTCCAGACATAGGTAAATGAGGGGTCCCCGGGGTCCATGGTTCAGCACTAGTAAACAGGAAGTTTGAAAGATTAGAAAGGGAAGATCTCTTTGGGGATGCTGGGGAGCAGTGCAGTGAGTTATGGAGCCGAGATGTCAGCAAAGGGAATGGGGCCAAACACTTGTGAAGTCTCTCGTCTAAAGAGAGCTGAGATCGTGCCCACCAGCCGTTCCCTTCACGTGGGCTACCCCGCAAGGCTTCAGATGGGTCTCTGTGGATTCCCACTTGCTCACGACTGCCCACCTTGGGGCTCTCGACAGGAGAGCAGAGTTATGACAGAGCTGTGTGCTTTCCTAGGGAGTGTTCACTGAAGGTTAGTGTTAATCTTGCTTGATTTAAGCCTTCCCAGATTCCCTTCCAAGGCTATAAACAGCAAAGTAATGAAATTGACCCTGGAAACAGAATAGAGAGGAGACCTCATCACAGGGATGGGCAGAGAAGCCCCACCAGGGGAGGAGAGAAATGAGAAATGGGCAGGAAGGCCTGGAAGGCGTCTCCGCTCTAAGAATGGAAGGAATACCTCCCCAGGGGACCCCGAAGGCTGCGGTATATCCAACAGCGTCATTCTGGCTGAGAAGTTGGGGGTGAGAGGGCCCCGCTAGTTAGGGTGAGGTTTTGGTGGTCACAGCACAGAAGGCATTGCCTCGCCTGGGGTGCTGCTTTATGGAAAACTGATGGCAGAGCTGGTAACCTCCCAGGCAGAGTTATCCTCCTAAGCTCTTGGCAGATTGATGACAGAGTAGCAGCCCAAGACACAAAAGCAGGGCTGAAGAGGTTGATTTCTCAGGATACGTAGAAAGGGTTCCCATCCTTGTCAGCCTTCCTTCTGCTGCTGTGCCCACCCTCCTCCAAAGCATGCACACACACACACACACACACACACACACACACACACACATTCATGCACACAGCTGAAAACGCACTAACTCTATCACATAGAGGGTACCCGGAGTCTGTTACTATGGAGAGGAAACTCAAGCAGGAAATTCAGGAGGTTATGATACTTTTACTGATCAGGGTCCTTGTATTGGAGTGCAGTTTCTTTTACAATGTTGTTTTAGTTTCTGCTCTATAGCAAAGTGAATCAGCTATATGTATAGCTGTATCTCCTCTTTTTTGGATTTCCTTCCTGTTTACTTTTTCTGAAGCTCTTGAGGGTAATTTACATACATCGTGGTTCTTTACTTTGAACGCTTCAGAGTGGATTTCCTAGGAACAGGAAGATGATCAGGGTACAGTCATGAACTATTGAATTTGCTTCAATTCTGTATCTAGTTTACCATATGTATTCTGATGTTCATTGATAGATTTCCTTTTCCTTCTGGCACAGGATCCATTCTGACATTAAGGACTGTATTTGGTTGTCATGTCGCTTTCACCTTGTGTTGTCTTTTTAGAATCTAATATTTTTTAAAGTACAGTCCCCCACCAACTTTTTAAATACAATTTTCATGCTGTGTTTTTCTCATATTTCCTCATGATTCAATCGGGGTTCTGCATTCTTGGCCAATAAATTTCGTAGATGATGGTGTGTCCGGCTCAGCTGTCACATCTAAAGATATACCATGTCCATCTGTCCCTCTCCTGGTCAGTGTTGCCTGATTTCCTCAATGTATAATTACTGAGGCTTTTTTCCTCCTCTGCAGTAATAAGCAGTCTGTAAGGAGACACTTTAAGGTGGTGTGTAGAGGCTTATACATAAACAGACATACATGCTGTTCTTCATCAAAATTTTCCCAAGAACTGGCACCCATTGATGGTTCTTGCCTGATCTGGTCCTGACCATGATGATCGTTGATCCCCCAGCTCCAGAAGTAATAAGAGCCCTCCCTTCTCCTGTCAGTTTTTCTGTGGTATGGATTCCTATTTTTTCAATGACTCATAATTGCATTATTATACATAAATATTTCAGTACTCAAGTTGTTTAGGCTGGCTTCCATATACTTGTGACATGCCCCTATCATTTTTTTTTTTTTGAGCAGTCTCTTAATTTCTGAAATAGCAAGATGTTCCAGATTCATCTTCTGTCTACCTTTTGCCCCAACTGTAGAATTAATCATTTCTTCAAGGTGCCCTGGCTCTTTTTAGTGGGAAATGGTATGAGAGCCCAATATCTGGGTCGCTAGGCATGCTCAATGCTATTTTGATGTCTTTGCTTCCTGGAAATTTCAACAAAGTTATATGTCTACACATAGCTACACATATAGATACCTCTATACATATATGTGGATGTAAACAAATATCTGCATACATAAACACATTTTTGAAATTTTGAATTCCCACTGATGCCTTCAACTTCAGTCCATCCCCAGAAGGTTCTTTCTTGTCTCTTCCATTCTATATTTCTGATTCCCTTTTCTGTAGTGAGATCCCTGGATCCAAACCAACCAATGCATTAACTCTATCTGCTCAGTCTTGAATTAATCTAAAATAACTTCCAAATTGCTTTACCCATTCTACAACAACAGAATAAGTTTCTTTGAAGGTTCAAGATTTGTTTGCACTTCTTCCCCAATCCTACCCTATCACATCCTAGACTGAGGTTACACAGTCCAAACTATGTCATAGTAGATTAGTTTTTTCCTTGTTTCTGCATTTAGTATATTTATTGTATTCATTCCAGCAAGCAAGGCTTATCGGGTTCCAAGTATTTTTATTAATAAAATTTAATTTTTCAATATGTAAAAACAGCATGCTTTTAGAAATCCAAACTATACACAGAATTAGAGTGAGAGGACGGTGAATCTTTTCTGTAGTCTTTTCCCCCACTCCATCCCCTGTAGAAAAAACCTCGGTGGTTTTTCAATGAATCCTCCAAGGGTTCCTCCTTTAAGGAAAAACAAAAAAAACGAAGCCCTAATTTCCCCTCCTTCCTAAAAAAAAGGGGGCAAAACAAAAGGGCCAACTTGCAACTTGGTGGTTTCCCGGAAAAACCCCCGGAAGCCAACCCAAAACAAGCAAAAAAAAAGCCCCTAATCAATTGTTTAGCTGCGCTGAGCACCACTGTGGGTATGTATACCATTGGATGTTAGTCAGTCTCCCATAGTTGCTTGCTGAGATAGTTCCCAGTCTTTGCCATTACAAATAATCCTGTAATGAATAACCTTGCCACATATATTTTCAGATTGTCAAAGGTATTTATCCTAGACAAATTCATAAAAGTGTGATTGCTGGGTCAAAGGGTAAATGCATATATTAAACCCCCTCTACAAGCCTTGGGCCATTTTTGCTTTCAGACCCCAACTCTCCACCACCTAGGCCAACAGAGTGTATTGTCAAGCCTCTGCATTTTTGTCCATCTGATAGGTGAGAAATGTTATCACAGTATAGTTTTAAACTGCTTTTATCTTATAAGTAAAGTTAAACACCTTTTTATTCACTTGGGTACCACTTTTATATCTCTTTTCATAATTGTTCTGGTCTTTTGTTCCTTTTTCTATAGGATTTTGTCTCCTTTATTTCCTTTATTTTTAAAAGCTCATTATAAATTTGGTATATTAATTCTTCATCTGTGATGTATGTTGGGAATATTTTCTCCTGTTTGTCATTTGCTTTTTTGGCCATGCAGAAGTGTTGTTTTACTGTTTTACTTTAATATAGTCACAAGTATTCATCTTTTCTTCTATTGCCTCTGGATGTTCAGGCATGGTTTATAAAATCCCCCCACCAGATATCTCCCAAGCAGTTTAGTTGTCATCATCAGTTGCACCCCCACATCCCAGCACAAAAGCCCTGGTCAGCTCGGTGCAGATCACCTCATTTCTCAAACATTCACTGGGATGTTTGTGTTTATTCTCCCTATTTTGGGCATTTTCTTCTGGTCATTCATAAAAAGACCAGATCTTATAAGGAGGAAGGGGTATGTAGTGTCTAGGGGAAGGGGAATAATATTCTGAATGGAGGAAGGCATCACTTGGGTTTTATTTAGGAAGCACGAGTTCCCAGGGAACAAGCACTACATCAGCCTTCCGACGTGAGACCTGTTCCCGCCTCAGTCCCGTCCACCCTCAGCAGGTCCTGCATGAGGCAGCATGTGAGGCAGAGGCTGTGCCCATCCTGTATCCTCACACCGCCCCCACCTCCTCTCTGCAGTGCCTCCCCCCTCCCCACCCCACCTTGGCTGGATGCAGAGTCTTGATGGGGACTGTACTGGAGCCAGATTCATTCTTGTCCCTGCAGAAGCAGAATCCTGCTTTGGGTACCATGTGCCAGGGGTGGATATGTACTGAGCCACATCAAACAAGCTATATTTCTTCTTAGGCTTCCGTGGTGGCTCAGTGGTAAAGAATCCACCTGCCAATGCAGGAGACGTGGGTTCCATCCCTGCGTTGGGAAGATCCCCTGGAGAAGGAAATGGCAAACCACTCCAGTATTCTTGCCTGGGAAATCCCATGGACAGAGGAGCCTGGAGGGCTGCAGTCCATGGGACTGCAAAGATTCAGACACAACTTAGCGACTAAACACCAACATTTCTTCTTATTTCATGCCAGGGATCTGAGCAAGGTGTAGACAGAATGGGCAGCTAGGCTGGCCTGTGTATTTTTATAAGTCTGCCAGAGATCATGAACTCTCCTCTCCCAGATGTTGGGATGTCCTGGTCCCTTAGCCATTCGATCCCGCCCTCCATCCCCCTTTGCTCTGATTACCGTCAGGTCACCTGGAGCTCAGGTGGGCTGACTTGGACCCAGAGGTGAGGGTGAGCACAGGGCGGGAGACTATAAATGAGCGGGCATCTGGAGAGGGGTGGGTGCGGCACACCCCTGCCTGGGGTCTGACGGTGCTGGCTTCGTCACAGTGAGGTCAGCCGCTGGTGACGGAGATGCGCTGTGTGTCACAGAAGAGGAGCTGGCTGCTGATGACGAGGACATGCCGTCCTTCCCGTGCACACAGGAGGGTAAGGGCTCCGGAGTGCCCCTCTGATCCCCTCTCTGGGCTGAGAACCACCCCGCCCCTGCCCTCAGCCCCAGGCTGGGAGAGACTTGCCTATCCACATGGCTTCACTGTCCAGACTGTTCATTCCCCACCGCTCCCTGGAGGCTTAAAGGGCGGAGTTGCACAGGCCTGGGTTATGCGGTACAGACGAAGTCAAAGTTTGTCACATGTGACATCTGTCTCCAGGGCGGGGACCTCTGCCATCTCCCCAGGGCCCACCTTCCAGTTGGCCCAGAGCTGTCCCCTTCATCCTGCCACTCAAGTGGCCACTCCTTCTCAAGTCCATGGGACCCAGCTTGGCATGAGAAACCAAGGCCCTGTGAACTGTTATTTGGCGTAGGGCTTCTTGACGGGTCTCAGTCTAGATTATCAGCCTTGGCTGTGCATTGTCGTCACCCAGGGATGTCTGAGACTGACCCTCAGAAATTCTGATCTCTTGGTCTGGAGCGTAGATGGACACCAGGGTTTTTATTTTTTATTTATTTATTTTGTGTGTGTGTGTAATAAAGTTTTATTAAAGTATAAAGGAGAGAGAGAAAGCTTCTGACATAGGCATCAGAAGGGGGCAGAAAGAGTAGCCCCCTGCTAGTCTTCAGCTGGATGTTATATAGTCACTTGCAGTCTGTTAATGAAAAGAAGTGAAGTTGCTCAGTCGTGTCCAACTCTGCGACCCCATGGACTGTAGCCTACCAGGACTCTCAGTCCATGGGATTTCCAGGCAAGAATCCTGGAGTGGGTTGCCATTTCCTTCTCCAGGCGCCAGGGTTTTAAACATTCTTGTTACTCACAATGCGCAGCTGAAGTTGGATCCGTCTTAGACATTGCACCACTGGGACATCACAGCTTCCTCGCTGGGCAGTGACCACCTCCCAGAGTCTCCAGGAACACTGGCTTCCCTCCTGCTTCTGTACGAGGGACCAGCTGACACACGGGAACCATCCGTTTGGATTCCAGGAGAACCTCAAGTAACCTCCACAGTTTGGGGACTAGTGACCGGCCTTCTGGTTGGCCTGGGACTGAGGGGTTTCCCAGGAGGTGTGACTTAGAGTTTTTAAAACTGAGACAGTCTTGGCGAGTCATCCTAGTTTGCCCGATTTTGAGGAGTTCCCTTAACAAGAGACTTTCAGTGCTAAAATCCAGGAACATCCTAGGCAAACTGGGAGGAGGTGGTCACCCACTGGTGAGGCAAGGCTGGCTGCCCCGTAGTGCGGATCACGACTAAGGCTGATGCCTTGGACAGGGGCGACTCCCTACAATGTGGGCTGAATGATGACGCCACGGAGACAAAGGATAACGTGATACCAGTGTTCTTCCAAGGCCCTGACTCTGGTCTCACCTATTCCTAAAAGCTGTGGGCTTCCCAGGTGGTGCTAGTGGTAAAGAACCCACCTACCAATGCAGGAGACATAAGAAACGCAGGTTTAATCCCTAGGTCGGGAAGATCCCGTGGAAGGGCACAGCAACCCACTCTAGTAATCTTGCCTGGAGACTCCGATGGACAGAGGAGCCTGGTGGGCTACAGTCCTTGGGGTCGCTCAGAGTCAGACACAACTGAAGCGACTTAGCACGCATGCCCATTCCTGAAAGCTCCAGGACCTCGAGAAAAGGCAGTGATGTGGGTGGAGATGGAGACCAGCGCGACAGCCCCCTTTCTGAGGATGGTTCAAAATGTGCCGAGACAGGCCAGAACAGGAGAACTGACCCTTTTAGTCACAGCCTCCACCACTGGGCTTTATTTGTCGCCATCCCTCCCCACCCCCCACAGGCCGACCGGGACCCCGCTGCAGCCGCTGCCAGAAGAACCTGTCTTTGCACACGTCCGTGAGGATTCTTTACCTCTTCCTGGCCCTGCTCCTGGTGGCCGTGGCCGTGCTGGCCTCTCTGGGTGAGTGCAGGCTGCCAGCAGGATTGGCTAGTCCAGGGTTCTCTACCCTGGGCTGTTGGGGAATTTCTCATCAGGGGTCTGTTGGGCACCAGAACCCCAAAGACAAGCACAGATCTCTGCAGCTCAGGACCCACAACAGCATCTTCCTGGCGAGGGGCTCTGAATGCCTGCTCCAAGCTGGGAAGACTGGCTCCTAATTTCTGGCCAATAATGAGCTGTGTGGCTTCGGTCCCTCATAGGACCTCTGTTTTCCTACGGGTAAATGACAAGATGGGCTTCCCAGTGACTCATTTGTTTAAGCATTCTCCTGCTAATGCAGGAGATGCAGGAGATGTAGTTTCGATCCCTGGGTCAGGAAGATCCCCTGGAGAAGGCAATGGCAACCCACTCCAGTATTCTTGCCTGGGAAATCCCAGGGACAGAGGAGCCTGATGAACTATAGTCCATGAGGTCACAAAGAGTCAGATACAGCTAAGCAACTGAGCACGCACACACACAAAGGACAGGATAGGACTAGACAGCAGCTCTCAGTTTCAGCTCCATGTTAGAATCATCTGGGAGCTGTAAAAAAAATATGATGCCCGGGCCCCACCCTGGATAATGGAATTAATTCAGTATTTAAGCTCTTCAGATGATTCTGCTGTACTTCCAGGCCTAAGGTCACCGGATCAGATGACTTCCAAGCCCTTTCCATGGTCCCTATGTTTCTCAAAGTGAGGTTGGATGCCTATCTGCATCAAGGTCACCCCCAGGATCTGTTAAGACACAAATTCCTAGGTCTCACCCAGGCCTAGTAAATCAGAGTCCTGCCAGTGGGGCCCAGGGATCTGAAGCTTGGTGGTTCTCATACGCTCAACAGTTTGTGTGACAGTCTGCATGCTGCCAGATTCAAGTAACCTCTGCCTTCTGTGGGCTTTCCTGGTAGCTCAGCGGTAAAGAACCCGCCTGCCAATGCAGGAGTTGACAGTTCGATCCCTGGGTCAGGAAGATCCCCTGGAGAAGGAGGAAGTGGCAGCCTACTTCAGTATTCTTGCCTGGGAAATCCCATAGACAGAGAAGCCTGGCAGGCTGCAGTCTGTGAGGTCGCAAAGAGTCAGACACGACTTAGCAAGTAAACAACAGCAACTGCCTTCTGGATGTTAACCATTTATGTTTCAAAGTAAAAACAAATTTGAAAGCTTCTTACAGCAATCCCATTCCATTCCTAGCTTCATTCTTTAAAACTCTACTGTACAAAGGGAAGCCAGTAGGTTTGCTTGCTCCAGTGGACTAGACGCGAGACAGCGGGGCTGGGCCTCGGGTGAGGCAAGGGAGACACGGAGGATGGCCCCTGTGGGTGCCGACCCTGGGCTTGTATGACCCCTGGGGTGGGGTGCTTCGTCCTGACCCCTCTTAGAGATATGCAGTAACTGGCTTTCCCAGCTTGAAGGCGAGAGGCCAGCACATTAATGATTTGAACAAACAAATCCTTGTTGGAATCATCTTCCAATAATCCTGAAGGTGTTAATGAAATTCAGCACAAGCCAGCACCTCCTACGTGTCAGGTATTGAGAACACTGAGATGAGTCTATTGCATTTCACCCTCAGAAGGAGTGGTTCTCAGTCTTGTCCACAGGTTAGAATTCTTTTGAGAGCATTTAAAAATGCATGCGCTGGAGCCCTCCTCACCATGTGAATGAAATCGTAGTCTCTGGGTAAGACCCAGGCTTTAATCATAGAGGAAAGCTCCCAGGTGATCCCAATGAAGTGGGAATGTTGGTAACCACTAATTAATCATTAAAATATTATAATAACTATTATAATAGTTATATAGTAATAATAGTTATTAAAATAATTATAATAGTTACTAACAATTTAAAAGTTCACTCTCCCTGTTAGTTATATTAAATTATTATAGCTGCATAATAAGATATTAATGTCTTATTATTATTTATTAGTTATAACATAATTGTTATCTTAATATTATATATTAACTATTGTGTTAATTATTATCTTGTTATATTATTAATTATAACTTATTAATAGTAACTTATTAATTGTATAATAAGATGTTATTGATAAATAATAAATAACATATTAACATGCTTATGGGATTTACCTAGTGGTCACTAGCTAAGACTTTGCAGTCCCAATGCAGGGGGCCTGGGTTCAATCCCTGGTCAGGGAAATAGATCCCACATCGCTTTAGCTAAGAGTTAGAGAGCCACAACTAAAGATCTTGCACGCTGCAATAAAGACTCAGCACAGCCAAATAAATAAATAAATATTTTAAAAATAAATTTCTTCTAAAGAAAAGAACTTCCCCAGCCCCTCACCCCCACTCAGCTCTACCTCTCTCTCTGCTAAATCACTTCACAGAGTCTGGACACCCAGAAAGTGGCTGAGATCCCTGGTCAGAGAAGGGTGAGGAGCTATAGCCCTGCCATTTAGAGGCAGCAACCTGGCCACTGGACCCTGAGCAGTTCCTGGTCAGCCCTCAGAGAGGCTGGGCTCCCAGCACCCATGGGACCACTAAGACAACTCCAATAGCACATGGAGAAGAGCCTGTATAGGCACCAGAGCCCTTCAGAAGGGATGGACAGTTACTGTGCCCACTGGATGCCCACTGGATGCCAGGCACTCTCCCATACGTGATGGTCACGAGTCCTCTGAACAAGGCCCCGAAATGGGAGGCTGGCTCCACTCCACATACGGGAGGTGAAATGATTTCCTCCAAGATCCAGGGTGAATGGGCTGAGGATTATAAGAACTGGGGTGTGTCTGGGAAGCAGTGTGTCTGGGAGATCAAAGGAGAACTTTCGATTTTCCTCTTTATTTTCACCTCCAGCCTGGTTGTCCCCACTCCTTAGGATAGTGCTGGCCTTGTTCATTGGGTTTATAATCTAGAGTAAAGTTGGCAACCTTTCTTTGTCAAGGGTTAGGAAGTAAATTCAGACCATGTATTGACTTGGTCGAAACCAAACTCCACTATTGCAGTGTTCCCAACAGTAGGGAATTTTTATACAATTGCTGAATTGTTTATATAGAGTATGAAACAGACATTAAAGTAATGATTTTAAAGTGACTTAAGGCTCAATAAGAAAATGTCCATGACACAATACCAATAAAGCAAAAAAAAAATAGAGATGTGCAGAACGTCCCAATTTTGTACTGTTGTCTTCTACAAAACCGTGTAGCTATAGCATGTATAGGGGCTTGCCTCAGTGGTAGAAGACCAGCCTGCCAATACAGGAGACACATGCTCGATCCCTAGGTCAGGAAGATTCCCTAGGGAAGGAAACGGCAACCCACTCCCATTCTTGCCTGGGAAATCCCATGGACAGAGGAGGCTGGCATGCTGCAGTCCATGGGGTTGCAAAGAGTCAGAAACAACTTAGCAAATAAACAACAACAGCAATGTAGCTATAAAATAACTGAGATAAATAAGGTTTAAGAGATATACAACAATGTTGATGACAGCTGTATCTCGGTGGTAGGAATAGGAATAATTTTTATTTTCTTTTTATATTTCTTTCTTATTTGTCCCTATTCTAGCCTATGGTCAGGTTATAGTTCTAAAATCTGAGTGGATGGAAATTATATATGTATATGCATGATTTATGTATTATATATTCTAATGCATACATATATACCTCCATATGTACATATACACTTAAGGGAGATATGTAAAGAGACTATATATATCTACGTCTATAGATATACACTAAGTCCCCTACATACAAACGAGTTCCATTTCATGAGCACGTTCGTATGTCTGGTTTGTTCGTTAAGTCCAGCAAAGTTGGCCTAAGTACCCAACTAACACAATCGGCTATATAGTATAGTATTGTCATAGGTTTATCATACTTTTCACAAAAATAATACATGAAAAACAAGCAAACACAAAAAATAAATACAACATTTTTAACCTTACACTACAGTAACTTGAAAAGTACAGTCGTCCAGTACAAAAGCTGGCATACAAGGGCTGGCATCGAGTGAACGGGCAAGAAGAGTTAGTGACTGGAGGAGGGAGAGGAGGTGGGAGATGGTAGAGATGGAGGGTCATTAACAAGAGGAGACAGAAGGCAAGCTGTGATTTCACTCACGCCTGACGCTGATGGCACAGGCTGTCTTGCTCCTTGCTGGACTCAATTCTATCTACCTTCTTGCTTCCAGACATCCTGGGTTTGAAATAAAGATATTATACTACTGTACTCTATACAGCACTCTACAGTAAGTTACACAAAAGCACACCCACTCGTAGAGGATGCACGTGTGTGAGAGTGTACGCCAGACACGTGAACTAGCTTACGTGATTGGACATGCATACACACGTTCGCATCTTTGACAGTTTGAAACCTGAAGGTTCTTATGGAGGGGACTTCTGGATATAGATATATAGATACACAGATACGTTTTTGAGAGAAGTGTGATAGACTCTGGCCATTGAATCATCTTCCCTTACAGCCATTGGGAAGCCCCTTAGAAGAAGAGTGGATGGTTTTGGCTAACGAGGGGCAGATAAAAATGGCTTCTCAACAAACGACTGCTGTTTCTCTGAGCTAAGCCCCTTTTCTCATTCCTGTTTCCCCTGAAGTCTTCAGGAAAGTGGACTCTCTCTCAGAAGACCTCTCCCTGGCCCAGGCCATGTATGACAAGAAACTCATGTCTATGCAGAAAAATCTCCAAGGGCTGGGTAAGTGTCCAGGGTTTAGATGTGCTAATGAGCAGGAATGAAGGCCAGTATTACTTGGAGTGGGACCAGGGACCCCCCAGGCCATGGTGCCCTGGAAAGGGCAGCCTTCACCAAGCTTCTAGGCACAAGGAAAGGACAGTCATGGTCCCTGCCTCCCTGTGCAAATGGAGAACCCACCCGACAAGGGCTGCTACCCTGGGATATGCCCAGGAGTGGGGCTGAGAGTTCTGTATGTGGCACAGATCTGCCCAGAGCCTCTAGGTAGAGAAGAAAGCTGAAGATAGGCCACTTGCCCTCGTGTATCCGAAGTTATTGGGGTGGCCAAAAAGTTCATTGACACGAACGAACTTTTTGGGCAGTCCAATATTTTTACGACTTCAAACACTCTTGACAAGTCAGCCCTTTCCTCATCACTGCCTTAAAGTTTGCATGGTTTACAGTCTGTTTATCTCTTGCTTTCACAAGACAATCTTGTTCTAAGAATGAGACAGAAAGCCATAATGGAAGGGTTTAGAGGGAGGCTGCTAGGTGAAAAGAGAAAGTTTTATTCTACAACTAATGAGCTGAGTCATATTTGGCAAGTCACTTCTCTGAGCTTCATTTCTCAGAAGTCTCAGGGGAAGAACGTTCCTGCACCCTTTTCTCCACTAGCTTATGAGAGGTTCAAATAAAAACAAATGCTAAAAAAGAAATTTTTTTTAACCAAATATTAAAATATGGGGAGAAGTTTTAAAAATAAAACGGGATGTTCTTGGCAACCTTAGAAAAGTTACAAAGATATATTTTCTTGAGACTTTGGTGAGGAGATGGAGAAAGTGTCCTAAAGCCTAGATGTCCTGTCAGAACAAAGACTTGGGGTAGAAATAAGATGGCACAGAGGCTAGCAACGTTTTTCCAAAAAGGATGTCATAGCAGGTCTTAGGGAAGAAAGAGGGACAGGACAGCCACATGCCAATTCATGATGCTCTGAAATATTAAATTGAAAGAAGCAACCTTTGCCCTGTGAGCTTTCAGCAACTCAAAATGTTGCTCCTTTCTCCTGAAGATCTAAAAGCCCCGAACAACTGCTCTTTCTGCCACGAGGCTGGGCTGCTGGGACAAGAGATCAGAAAACTGCAGGCGGAGCTGGAGGGAATTCAGAAGATGCTTCTAGCTCAGGAGGTCCAGCTACACCAGACCTCCCAGACCCACGACCTGCTCTCCACCACCAGCGGTCAAATCTCCCAGGAGATGGGCAGTTGTTCCTTCTCCGTCCACCAGATCAACCAGTCTCTGGGGCTCTTCTTGGCCCAGGTGAGAGGCTGGCAGGCCACCACTGCTGGCCTGGACCTGTCTCTGAAGGATCTCACCCAGGAGTGCTACGACGTCAAAGCGGCGGTACACCAGATCAACTTCACCGTGGGGCAGACCTCCGAGTGGATCCATGGGATCCGGCGGAAGACGGAAGAGGAGACCCTGACCCTCCAGAAGATGGTCACCGACTGGCAGAACTACACACGGCTCTTCGGCAGCCTGCGCACCACCTCGGCCAAGACCGGAGACGCGGTGAGGAGCCTCCAGGCCACCCTGGGAGCCTCATCCCAGCGCATCAGCCAGAATTCTGAGAGCCTGCATGATCTGGTGCTGCAGGTCATGGGCTTGCAGCTGCAGCTGGATAACATCTCGTCCTTCCTGGATGACCACGAGGAGAACATGCACGACCTGCAGTACCACACGCGCTATGCCCAGAACCGCACGGTGGAGAGGTTCGAGACGCTGGAGGGACGCATGGCCTCCCACGAGATCGAGATCGGCACCATCTTCACCAACATCAACGCCACCGACAGCCACGTGTATAGCATGCTCAAGTACCTGGACGACGTCCGGCTCTCCTGCACCCTGGGCTTCCACACCCAGGCTGAGGAGCTCTACTACCTGAACAAGACCGTCTCCCTCATGCTGGCCGCCACCGACCTGCTCCGGGAGCGCTTCGGCCTGCTCAGCGCCCGCCTGGACCTCAACGTCCGCAACCTGTCCATGATCGTGGAGGAGATGAGGGCCGTGGACACACGGCACGGGGAGATCCTGCGGAACGTCACCATCCTACGAGGTGAGAGGCGGATGGGCGGGGCTGCCAGGGAGCTCCCAGAGGGGAACACGGAAGGACCTAGTTTGGGGCCCGGTATCCTGGTGGGCTGATACAGCCCTGCAGCAAATGCCTGGGGAGACTGGCTGCTTTCACATCCTTTGGGAAGAGTGTATGGCAGTGGTGAAGAATCCTCCTGCCAATGCAGGAGACATGGGTTACATCCCTGGTCTGGGAAGATCCCCTGGAGAAGGAAATGGCAACCTGCTCCAGTATTCTTGCCTGGAAAATCCCTTGGACAGAGGAGCCTGGCGGGTTACAGTCCATGGGGTCCCAAAGAGTCAAACACAATTGAGCGATTGAGCACACACACAAGGCTCCTCACCTGCATGACATACAGATTTGGATTTTTACATGTGGATCTATGTATGAGTCCACAGAGAGATATAGGCAGAGCTCATCCTTTGGAAACTCTGTTTTCTCTTGTTTTCCCCTTCCCTCCCCCTCACTGATGCTCTCCACCATCTGCCCCCTCAGAGGCCGGTCACTCTGATGCCCTCTGCTCCTCCCATCTCACCCTTGCATTTAGGCAGAGTTCTCCAGAGAAATATGAAAGAGAGAGAGAGACTAAAAGGAATTGGCTCATGAGATTGTGGAGACTGGCAAACCCAAAATCTGCACAGCTGATGTCCTAGTTCAAGTTCAAAGGTGGAAAGCTGCTGTAGAACCAGGGAGAGAGAGTGTGTCCATTGGAGGTTTGTTGGGCAGGAAATGCTCTGTTACTCAGGGGAGGGTCAGCCTTTGGTTCTATTCAGGCTTCAACTGATTCAGTGAAGCCCACCCACACTGGGGAGAACAATCCATTTTACTTGGTACTGATTTAAATGTTAATTTCATCCACAAACACCCTGTGCACACACCCAGAATAATGTTTGGCTAAATATCTGGGTATCCCATGGCCCAGGTAGCTTGCCACCTAAGATGAACTATCACAAGTGCATCCCTCATCACCTTGGCACCCATGCCTATCTCCTTTGTTGTTGTTGTTCAGTCGATAAGTTGTGTCTGACTCTTGCGACTCTGTGGATTGTAGCCTGCCAGGCTCCTCTCCAGGCAAGAATACTGGAGTGGGTTGCCATTTCCTTCTCAAGGGGATCTTCCTGGACCAGGGATTGAACCTGCATCTCCTTCATTGGCAGGTGGACTCTTCACTGCTGAGCCACCTGGGAAGCCTGGTCACATTTGGCAAGGAGGCAGGGATCATTCAGGGAACTCTAGGAGACAGGAGGGAAGTACCCACTATCCCAGGCAGCACTGTTGTCTCCATGGAGCTTGGGCTGGAGTCAAGCTCTCTGATCTCTGGTTCTCTTGAACCATTTAGTTTCAAATCTGTGTTGCCTTCAATTTTATATCAGTGAGCATTTTTGCTAATATTTTCTTTACTCTAGATTAGTGGTGTTGCAGGGGCTGGGGGTGAGGTAAGATCTTGTTTGCCTGGTGTCATATTTTTGCAACGAAGCCAGGTACTGAGTATTTCCTTAGTAACTGAGATAGTCTCCCAGTGTTTCATGTAAAATATGTATCTGTGTGACCTCTAGGATGCAGTGTTCCAGGGAAGGCGTTAGCAGATAGTTCTCATGATTCATCCTCTAGTAATCTTGTTTTCTTAGGTTGCGTTCAATCTGAGAACAACTGAAATGTAAAGCTTGCCTCATGACAAAGCCTATTCATTTGGCCTCACAATCTTTTTTTTTTTTTTTTGGACTTTTATTTTAAATTGGAGTAAAGTTGACAATGTTGTTTTAGTTTCAGGTTTACAACACAGTGATTCAGTCATACACATACTTGTATATATTCCTTTTTAAATTATTTTCCAGTTAAGGTTATTACAGGATGTTGAGCAGTGTCCCCTCTTATACAGTAGGTCTCTGTCAGTTATTCCTTTGAAATAAAGCAGTGTGTACATGTCCATCCCAAACTCCCTAACTAACCCTCCCCTCCACCCTTCCCCACTAGCTTCACAACCTTTGTGGACAAGACATGTTACAGGTGTCGTGTCTTTATTTTACAGAACGGTGACCTGAGACTAGGAAAAGTGAAGGGACAATTCATGGTCACACTGTGATTAAGATCCTGACCCCTTACCATGGCTCTGAGGTGCAAATGTCTGGCGATCAGCCAGAAGACACTGAGAGTGTGAGCTCACAGATATCACAGATATAAAAAATGCATTTCCACTGAGGTCCTGCTTACACATCATGTGTGGGACAGACTGGAAAAGAAGGAAATGGTACCCAAAGTGTCAGAAGTGAACCATCTGAGACCCTCATTCCAAGTATAACCCAACAATAGTCATGAAAATTTATATTTGCGCCTGTCCTAATGATGGCAGAGTTCTCATCAAAGGACTTCATCTTAACTGGAGACCAAGGCGGGACATCACTTTGAGCTGCGTTTGACTCTCAGTTCAACCTCTCTATATTTGTTTAAATGCTGTCCTTTGGCCAACATTCTTCTTGGTTGTTAAATCACCACATATAAAGCCTCTCACATCTGAAAGAAGATTTCAGGGACAAAATGCGCATCACTTCCCACAGGAAGTGCCATTTATTCACTCGTTCACCTATAGACAGGGGCTGACAGGCTCTCACGCTGGGCTGGCAATGAGGTCTCCCTCTGTCTGGAGCCAAGCAGCTATCTAGAATGAAGGAACAGGGACATTCATGGCCAAGTGCTGACTGAAGGGCTGGGACTCATAAACTGTGCAGGAAAGGAGCCTGGATTCTAATTTGCTCTGGGTCTTTAGGCAGAATCACTTAATCTTTCCGGGCCTCTGGTTTTTGGGGGTCTTTTATTTTGATTAGTTTCAGGTTTACAACACAGTGATTCAGTCATACACATACTTGTATATATTCCTTTTTAAATTATTTTCCAGTTAAGGTTATTACAGGATGTTGAGCAGTGTCCCCTCTTATACAGTAGGTCTCTGTCAGTTATTCCTTTGAAATAAAGCAGTGTGTACATGTCCATCCCAAACTCCCTAACTAACCCTCCCCTCCACCCTTCCCCACTAGCTTCACAACCTTTGTGGACAAGACATGTTACAGGTGTCGTGTCTTTATTTTACAGAACGGTGACCTGAGACTAGGAAAAGTGAAGGGACAATTCATGGTCACACTGTGATTAAGATCCTGACCCCTTACCATGGCTCTGAGGTGCAAATGTCTGGCGATCAGCCAGAAGACACTGAGAGTGTGAGCTCACAGATATCACAGATATAAAAAATGCATTTCCACTGAGGTCCTGCTTACACATCATGTGTGGGACAGACTGGAAAAGAAGGAAATGGTACCCAAAGTGTCAGAAGTGAACCATCTGAGACCCTCATTCCAAGTATAACCCAACAATAGTCATGAAAATTTATATTTGCGCCTGTCCTAATGATGGCAGAGTTCTCATCAAAGGACTTCATCTTAACTGGAGACCAAGGCGGGACATCACTTTGAGCTGCGTTTGACTCTCAGTTCAACCTCTCTATATTTGTTTAAATGCTGTCCTTTGGCCAACATTCTTCTTGGTTGTTAAATCACCACATATAAAGCCTCTCACATCTGAAAGAAGATTTCAGGGACAAAATGCGCATCACTTCCCACAGGAAGTGCCATTTATTCACTCGTTCACCTATAGACAGGGGCTGACAGGCTCTCACGCTGGGCTGGCAATGAGGTCTCCCTCTGTCTGGAGCCAAGCAGCTATCTAGAATGAAGGAACAGGGACATTCATGGCCAAGTGCTGACTGAAGGGCTGGGACTCATAAACTGTGCAGGAAAGGAGCCTGGATTCTAATTTGCTCTGGGTCTTTAGGCAGAATCACTTAATCTTTCCGGGCCTCTGGTTTTTGGGGGTCTTTTATTTTGTTTTGTTTCATATGCAAATCAGTGGATAAGACCAGTTGTTCTTTATATCTTCCAGCTCTGTGATGAAGTCTGAGTCTCCATTTGCCAACCAGAAAGCCTTTGGTACCTCTCATAGAATGTTTCCTCTCATTCTATATTTCCTCCATTTCCTCCTCCAGGGGATCTTCCCAAACCGGGGATCAAACCCTTGTCTCTTCATTGGCAGGCAAATTCTTTACCACTGGGCCCCCTGGGTAGGGAGGGAAATGCCTGCTTGGAGGATTAGCAGGTTTACTTGTTATCGAGCAACGAGGGCAGTCAGTGAAAAGGAGAACGATGCCATCTTCTGCTGGTGCCTGCATGGGAGCTTACCGTAACGCCTGGCCTATTTCTGGCACATTCTTACTTCCCGGGCACCATCCTTGAGGCTTCCCACCTATGGCCCTTGGCCTGTAGTTTTCATCTCCCCTGCCCCAGAGGACTGAAGAGATGAAGCCTAATTCTTCGCTCAGTGTTTCCATCCCTTGGTCCTTACCACAGATGCCCACACAGTTTCCTTTCCTCCTGAATACCAGCCCTGGGCCTTGACAGCCCTGAGCCCCAGCCCCAGTGAAACTGCTAGAAACCCTTCTCAGCCTCTCTGCCCAAACCACTTACTAGTCAACAAATGGCTAGAGAGAAAGGGGCAAAGAAAGTCAGGCTTCCTTCAACAAGTTCCCCTTTCCTGGGGAGTCTGGCGTTTGATCTCTCTCCAAAACTTTCCGAAGGATGTCTTGGCATGGTGCCTAATGGTTCTAATTGTTCTCAGTGGGAGGTCTATTTGGTACAAATTAATCCATCATAAGCTGACGTGGAAATCCACTGGCATTTTTTCAATGCTCCTCAGGTAACAAGAACCAGGATTGAGTGTCCCCGACCCAGGCTAATATTCTCATTGAACAAAGGGGAGCCTGCAGACAGAATTCAGTCCAATGAGGACCAAATGATGTACCCAGTCACCCAATTTGTTAGTATGGGAACTGTGCTTTCCATGGCACCAGGCCAATCTCCCGAGAGGCCCCCCACTTCTGTTTCTGTCTCCGTCCACCTGTTTTGGACAGGGGGGTGGGCTGAGTCCCCCCTCCCTGCCCATGCACCCCCCTACCCGTGGGTGGGCAGTGCTGGTATGCTGACGCCTTGGTGCATCTGCTCAGCCCCCCAGCCCCTCCCCACTCCCAGTGCAGACCCCGAGCAGACCACCTACTTGTCCCAGACATGTAGTCAGTGTGGCTCTGCCCTAATGTGCCGGGATGGCCTAATTACAGCCCAGGGCTTCCTGAGTAATTATGGGCCTCTCCTCCGGTCTCCAGGATGCCCGGTTCCTCTCCCATCTCTGCATCTCGGCCACTGCTGCCCCCATTTTCTCTTTTGTCCTAAATGTGCCCCCGCTGCTCAGAGCAGCTCTTAGCTGCTCCCCGCCCTCTATCCCTGAGACACCTAGATCTTATTACAGGCTGGGTGAGGGGCCCCTGTTGCAGAGAGCCCCCGATCAGCCCGTTTCTGCATCCCTCCCCGCCATGCTAACTGCTGAACTCTGCTTGTTGATTTCCTCCCCGCCAGCTCTCCGTCTCTGACCGCATGACTCATGGCTGGCCCTGGAGGGACAGGCGGAGGCTTGGCTCACCCGAGGGAGACAGTCCTTAAGGTGACCCCTTCCTGGCTCAGTGGGCCCTCTCCTCCGGGCAGCGACAGAGTGGGAGGTCCTGGCTGTGGGAGCAGGTCTGGAAACAGGCCCCAAGCCTCTCGGGCCTGGGTTTGCATCCTATCTCCATCCTCCCTGGTTAGTGATGGTTTGCAAGTTGTCACTCTCAGCACCTCAGTTTCTCCTCTGTAAAATGGGGTGATGATCTCAATGTATGATGCCACGGACATAGGAGAAACTCAGTTTCCCTCGCCCTTCCCTTCCCCGAGAAAATAGATCTCAGAGAAGTTAGGATGAGTGGGGGCCAACGTGGGCACGCTGACACCAGACGTGGTGGGGAGAGACCAATGCCTGTAACACAGGCCCTGTTCCCAGTGGAGCCTCCCCGACGGATGTCCTCATCAAGCCACCACCTAGGAGCCCTCCATGGGTTCTCAGAGACGGGTCAGCAGCGGCAGGCGTGGAGAGACTGTGGAGAGGGAGGTGACCCATTCCTGGCAGGCCTCCTTCCACAGGCGCTGGGGGCTGCAGTCCTGAGGCGCTGGTGAGGGGACAATGAGACTCAGGCTTCTGCTCAAACCTTCCCCCTAGGCACGGGGCCCGCAGGCTTTCCCACCAGGGGAAAGACACCCAAGAGCTTCCCCAGAAAGAGGCGCCTGAGGAGGCTGGAGGGGAGGAGCACACAGAAGCCTTTGTTCTCTGCTCTTTCTCCCCGGCTGTTGGCACAGAAACCCTGAGAAATCCTTCTGCGGGCTGCTGCGCCCTCAGGGGCCAGGGAGCAGAGGGCGTGTGCTGGAAATGGTGGTGCAGGAGGGCGGGGGTGCCCCAGGGAGGGGCAGGGGGCTCCTGGTGGATCTGTGAGCATGCTTGTCCAGATAAGACTTCACAGGTGTTCCCTGAGTCCAGGCAGGGGCTGGGAACCATCCACCCAGGGAATAAGAGTGGAAGTCACAGGAGAGGTCCTAGGATGAGAGAGAGAGGGACCAGGGAGCTGGGGCAAGCCCTGGGCAGCGTGTTCCTAGAGCAGGAGGGACAGAGGTGGAAGGAGAACTGCTGGTGGAGCCGCCGTGCCCTGGGGGACTGTCAGGCGTGATCTCAGAGAGATAGGTGATGTGAGCACAGATGCACAACACCTTGCCCAGAGTCGCTTGGTGCCCTCAGACTCCCTTGCACGTGAACAGCCTGCAGGGGCCTCTCCACCTCCGGACGGCTGTGCTGTTCCAGCCCCCACCCCCGCCCCGGCTGCCCCAGGTGCCCAGGGCAGAGCTGGGAGTGAGGACAGGCTGGTTCCCAGCCAGACTGGGGGTGGAGGTCCCTGCCAGCCGTCTCCCCGAGCCCTGGTTGTGCCTGTTGTTCTGGCCGCTGTGCTGCAGACGATCGTTGCAGACAGAAGGGCAGGTCAAGCTGTTCCCTGGTCACCGCCACCACTGCCAGCCCGCCCCACGCCCACTCCAGCCAGCCGATGATGGCATGCCAGCCGGTAGTGCTGGCGGGCCATGTGAACCGAGCCCGCACAGGCCACAGCCCCGCTGTGTGTGGGAGGTGGGCATGGGCAGGAGGTGGCCCGGAACAGGTTTTTATTGGCCCCAGTGGGGCTGAGTATGTCTGGGCTCCGGTTTCCAGTTTAGATCGTAATTGGAGGACGGTGTTCAGTGACTCTCTGCTCCACTTACAAACCCTCCGAGAGAGAGATGAGCAGGAGTGGAAGGGTGGAGGGAGGCCAGGACAGACGGAGGCAGTGTCTGCATTAGCGGGGAGAGGGGCCCAGGGCTGCAGAACTGGGTCAAGCCCGCTGGAAGGGCTCCCAGCTCCTGCAGAGAAGATCCCTTCTCTTCAAGGGCTTCTGGTTTCTGCTTGGGGACCCCTGGGCTACCACGTCACTTCTCTGGTTGCCTCCTCTGTGAAATGTGGAAGTTGGACTAACCCCCACCAAGCTCAAAAATTCCAGGATTCTCCTGCAAAGGCGATGATGTAACAGTTGAGTTCTCGGGGAGAGCAGAGCGTGGGCATAAGAATTCACCTCCCAGCCCCAGGGTCATTGTCCCCACCCCCCACCCCACGAGCTGGTACCCAGACCACTGAAAGCCAGGGCTTTGCTGCGCCTTAACCCCAAGGGGACTAAAGCCATTCTCTGCAATTCATGTCCTCACCAGGCCAGAGGGTGCTGTCTCCTCTAGTTCTGGGGCATCCTACCTGCTTAGGCCAGATTGACGGCCACACTCTAACCTCTGTTCTGAGGGTGGGTGGGTACAGCTCTGAGAGGTGGTGACTCTGATCTACCCAGCAGGCAGATAGGCAGTTAAGGTCATCTGACCCCTGCTTTGCGTGCTAGGCTGGGCTGTTTAAGGAAGGGCATATAGGGGGAGGTGGGAGGAATTGGGAGACTGGGATTGACTCATACACAGTACTGATACAATGCATAAAATAGATAACTAATGAAAATCTACTGCACAGCTCAGGGAACTCTACTCAATACACTGTGGTGGGTGACCTGAATAGGAAGGAAGTCCAAAAAAGAAGGGAGATGCGTGTATGTTCCCTGGTAGCTCAGACGGTAAAGAATCTGCCTACAATTCAGGAGACCTAGGTTTGATCCCTGGGTCAGGGAGATCCCAGGCAGAAATGGCAACCGACTCCAGTATTCTTGCCTGGAGAATCCCTTGGACAGAGGAACCTGGTGAGTTACAATCCATAGGGTCGCAAAGAGTCAGACATGACTGAAGCGACTTAGCACTAGCCCTATAGCTGATTCACTTTGCCGTACAACAGAAACTAACACAACTTTGTAAAGCAACTATACTCCAAATAAAAATCAATTAAAAGAGAAGGGATTCATCCTGGCATCTCCCCCAGGCCCTACGCCAGAGCAAGGCGATGATGTAACAGTTGAGTTCTCGGGGAGAGCGGAGCGTGGGCATAAGAATTCACCTCCCAGCCCCAGGGTCATTGTCCCCACCCCCCACCCCACGAGCTGGTACCCAGACCACTGAAAGCCAGGGCTTTGCTGCGCCTTAACCCCAAGGGGGCTAAAGCCATTCTCTGCAATTCATGTCGTCACCAGGCCAGAGGGTGCTGTCTCCTCTAGTCCTGGGGCATCCTACCTGCTTAGGCCAGATTGACGGCCACACTCTAACCTGTGTTCTGAGGGTGGGTGGGTACAGCTCTGAGAGGTGGTGACTCTGATCTACCCAGCAGGCAGATAGGCAGTTAAGGTCATCTGACCCCTGCTTTGCGTGCTAGACTGGGCTGTTTAAGGAAGGGCATATAGGGGGAGGTGGGAGGAATTGGGAGACTGGGATTGACACATACACAGTACTGATACTATGCATAAAATAGATAACTAATGAAAATCTACTGCACAGCTCAGGGAACTCTACTCAATACACTGTGGTGGGTGACCTGAATAGGAAGGAAGTCCAAAAAAGAAGGGAGATGCGTGTATGTTCCCTGGTAGCTCAGACGGTAAAGAATCTGCCTACAATTCAGGAGACCTAGGTTTGATCCCTGGGTCAGGGAGATCCCAGGCAGAAATGGCAACCGACTCCAGTATTCTTGCCTGGAGAATCCCTTGGACAGAGGAACCTGGTGAGTTACAATCCATAGGGTCGCAAAGAGTCAGACATGACTGAAGCGACTTAGCACTAGCCCTATAGCTGATTCACTTTGCCGTACAACAGAAACTAACACAACTTTGTAAAGCAACTATACTCCAAATAAAAATCAATTAAAAGAGAAGGGATTCATCCTGGCATCTCCCCCAGGCCCTACGCCAGAGCGGGGTGGGAGCTAGGGGTCCAGAACTGTTTGGTGCCTCCCCCTTTTCAAGCATATACTGAGCTTTCCCTGCTGTGTGCCTAAGCGCCATGCCCAGGGGTGGGTGATGGGAAGCGTTGTCCTCACTATCTTCTTGGGGCCCCACAGTTCAGCGGGGTTTACCAGAGAGAAACCAAGGATTTGCTTTCACTATACTGTGACTTCTCTTCCTACATGTCAAATAAAAAAATTCAGAAAGTAGCAGCCCCAAGAGTTCAGAGGAGAGGCTGGAGTGGTCAGGGAGGACTTCCTGGAGGAGCTGCCCTTTCTCTGGTTTGTTGTTATTCCCACTCACTCACACTGGGAGGCATCTACTTCTCACACCTCACTTCACACATCACTTTCTTGGCTTTCTCGTCCATGTCACCTGACTCCACTCCTGGTCCCAGGTGCCCAAAGGTGAAGCCTGGGGTTGGGATGGGGGTGGGGCAGGAGGTAACGACCACAGCAGTTGAAGTCCATAATGAGTATTAGCGTCCAGGCTGGTCTCCAGAGCAAAACAGATGATCCTGGATGGCCATGACCTTTGCCCAGAGCCGCCCAGCTCACTCAGCCTCCCACCTGAGTGCCCACATGGAACTTGAGCCCAGTCCTGAAGTTAGAAATATGAGTGCCCGCCTGGTGCAGGCATTGTGCCAAACACCTATGCATGTGAGCTCGGGATGGGCTCCCAGCCTCACTTAAGATTCTCAGCCCCCCTTCACAGCTGGCCAAGCCGACTTACAGGGGTCATGTCAGGGGCCTGAACCCCCAGAGCCAGTAGTTGGCAGACCTGGGACTTCAGACACGTGGGTGTCAGAGTGCCTGGCGCCCACTTCATGGGACAGCCTCAGGAGACCTGTCCTCGTACACTGACTTCTGCCCTCTTCTCTCTGACCCTAGGTGCCCCCGGCCCTCCAGGACCCAGAGGACTCAAGGGAGATGTGGGCGTGAAAGGGCCTGCTGGTGGCAAAGGACCTAAAGGAGACCCCGGCAGCTGGGGGCCCCCAGGACCCCAGGGTCCTCAGGGGCAGCCCGGGGAGCCTGGGCCTGCGGGGGAAAGGGGGCCAGTTGGCCCAAGAGGTTTCCCAGGCATCAAAGGGTCAAAGGGCAGCTTCGGAACTGGGGGCCCAAGAGGACAACCGGGCCCCAAAGGGGACATGGGGCCCCCAGGGCCAGAGGGCCCCCCAGGATCTCCAGGGCCAGAGGGGCCTCAGGGAAAACCAGGGATCGCCGGGAAGACAGGGTCACCAGGCCAGCGGGGGCCCATGGGGCCGAAGGGTGAGCCAGGGATCCCGGGTCCCCCTGGCTTCCCCGGGCCCCCAGGCCCACCAGGAAGCCAGAGCAGCTACTGAGGAGAAGTCCAGTCCCAGAAACTGCCACACAAACGGCAGGGAGTGGGCTTTGGCAGAGAGAGGCCCCTATAAAGCCACACCTACATACGTGTGGTCCTTTGACCCCAAAGGGGGTTCCCCCAGGCCTGACCCTGCACCTCTGGGCTCCCCAGTAGTGACTTACCATAGAAAGCAGCCCCTTACACACACACACACACACACACACACACACACACACAGGTGCATCTCCCTGCTGGCCAGGGCACCACCAGACCCTCCCCCGTAACCATGGGAACAGGGTCCCGGGCCCAGCCCTGCCCTGCACAGGACCTGGTCCACCTGGGCCCTAAGGACTACATCCCCAGGAGCTCAGCCTCTTTTTCTGCACCTCCAGAAAACTTCCTGGCTTCATCCTTGTGTCTGCCTCCAGGAGCATCCCAGGAAGAAACCAAGTGGGAATTCCATCTGCACCAGGGCTCTCTCCTAGCCCTGGAATTTTCTGTCAAAGGAGGAGGCCCCACTGCAATCCTGGGGTAGCCTCTTTGTGGTGACCGGGGGAGGGCTGCCCCCTGACTGGCTCTCCTTCCGCCCCCCTGACATCACCCCACTGTGACCCAGACTGGCCCAAGGCCTCTCTGCAGAGACAGCAACCGCAGACAAGGGGGAGGGGTCACATCCCTCTGACGTCACCCCTCACCCACCTCCGTCCTCCTGCATAGCCGGCAGCGAGGAGCACTGGGCCATCCCCAGCATGGTGAGCTCCCAGTGAAGCTGCCCTTTCTTTGTGTCCTAACAGATAATGACCCCTCCTCCAGGCTGGGTGCTTGCAGCTGTCCCCCCTCCCGACCTCACCCAGAGACTGGCCTCTCCCCCATCCAGAAGCCTTATCGATGACCCCCCCCAACCTTCTTGTAACAGGTGTGCAACTGGCTTGCACTCCCGCCCCCCCAACTGCGTGTAGTTCTCCTGTCTACGTATGATATCATGCCACCTAGTATCACCGACTCAGTAAAGACCTGTTTCCAGGAGGGAGGTGTCTTCTGGTCCTTTCTGCCTGATGGGGGCCCTGATGCCTTCAGGGTCTTCACCTCGCCTGGCCTTTGAAGGGGAGCCGGGGGGTGAAAGGTCCCTTAAATCTTCAGTCCCACTGTGGAGTCCGGGGCTGAACCCTCAGCCCCTCGCTCCGGAAACACTGAGCTCCGCGGGGCCTTCCCAGCGGTCCCGAGGGGCCAAGGGGCCAGGATGGCTGAGGGCTTACCCACAGTGAGCAGGGACCTAGGGGAAGCCACATGGACTTACTAATCTCACAGCAGAGTCCCGGTGCGCGTGTGCTAGAACAAGACTGGAAAAGAAGACCTGACCCCCGAGAGTTACCTGCTTCCTCCTCCTCTTGTTCCTAAGATGAGGAGATGAAGCAGAAAAGGAGGAGGAAAGCAGGCCAGACCTGCCGCAGAGGGCCTGACGTCCGCAGGAAACACAGGACACCTGGGTCCTTGTGAGTCAGCGGGCCTGATCCAGGAAGTGAGATCTGGGATCAGTTCCAAGGGATGAGCCAGGGGCTGGAATGAGAGGCTAGCCCGCAGGGATCAAACACTGAGGTGCTCTCAGAACCTACACAGAAACACAGAAGAAAAACTCCTGGGTCCCAGACGATTGCCACCAACACATCCCTGGCTGTGCGGTTTGGGGGGATCAGCTTGGTTCACCAGCACGGGGTGGAGGCGGGCACCTGGAGCCCGTCCCTGCGGCCACCCCCATGGAGCCAGTTCATGCCGCCACCCGGGTCACAGGAGTCCCCTCGAGCTCTAGCAAGGAAACAGGCAGGGGGCACACATGACAATGCACATGAATTTGAGCAAACTGCGGGAGGCAGTGGAAGACAAAGGAGCCTGGCATGCTGTAGTCCATGGGGCTGCCAAGTCAGACACGACTTAGGGACTAAACAACAGCAATTTATGACCAGGAGGACGCAGCAGGTAAAATCGAGCCTATGAAACTTGATGCAGAGCTCCGTCCTGCAGTGGCTAGATGTGGGGAACTGCCAGCATCTCAAGCCCCCATCTTCGCTTCCAGAGAATACACCAGTCTCCTCTCTCTTCTCCCTCATTGCCCCCTTCCTGCTGACCAACATTTTCTGTTTGCATGAGGCCCAGTGTATCAGGGTCACTGCTCACCACCAAAGGGCCCAGCCCTACAGTTTCTAGTTCCCAGCCTTAGGAGGGCAAAATCTGATCACTTACCCTGTGGGTTCAGGGGTCTGGCCACAGAGGGAGAGGGTTCACTCTGTAAAAAAATTAGAGGTACAAGAACAAGAGTTACCATGAACAAAACTGGCCACAAAATCTGTGTTTGGCAACAGAGGAATAGAATAACCTGAACAGTAACAATAATAGCAAATGCCGATGGAAGAGTTACTATGCAGCAGAATACCATTTTAAGCACTTTACATATTAACTAATTTAACCCACACTACAATGTGTAATGTAGCTATATATCTGTAGTCTCTATACTGTGTGTGAAATCATCATGAGCAATGTTAGAAAATCCAGCATTTTGATGGAGTGTTTGCATGTGTTCAGTCAGTCACTCATGTCCAGTTCTTTGCAACCTTATGGACTGCAGCCTGCCAAGCTTTTCTGTCTGTGGGATTTTCCAGGCAAGAATACTGGAGTGGGTTGCCATTTCCTCCTCCAGGGGATCTTCCTGACCCAGGGATCAAACCTGCGTCTCTTTTTTCTCCTGCATTGGCAGGCAGATCCTTTACCACTGTGCCACCTGGGAAGCCCCTCTATGTTTACTGTGTCTATAGTATTATTATTCCCATTTTACAGATGGGGAAACTGAGGCTTGGAGAGATTAATTAGCTTCCCAAACTCACAGAGCTAATGAGTTTTTAGATGTATCTCTATTGAAATTCAGTCTTGGGTAATTTAACTTCTCTTCTGTTTCCTCCCCTGTAAAGTGGGGGTTATAATTGTACCTACCCCAAGAGGCTGCTGAGGGGATTAAATAAAATGATGCTCTTGGCCAGTTTCCCAGCAAATTAGTCAGCCCAGGCCGCCATAACAAAATATCACAGATTGGGTGGCTCAAACAACAGAAATTTATTTTCTCAGAGCTCTAGAGGCTGGAAGTCTAGGATCAAGGTGCCTGCTTTTCCTGGCTTCTGGCTGTGCCATCATGTGAGGTCCGGGAGAGAGATGCCTGGGGGAGGGGAGAGAGAGACACACACTCAGAGATAGAAAGGCAGAGGGAGAGCCCTCTTTCTCGTCTTGGGAGCCTGCAGGACTGTCGGACTAGGGCCTCCCTCATTTAACCTTCACTGGGCTTCCCAGGGGCCTTCCCTGGTGGCTCAGACGGTAAAGAATCTGCTGCAATGCAGGAGACCCCGGATCAATCCCTGGGTCGGAAAGATGTCCTGAAGAAGGAAACCGCAACCCACTCCAGTATTCTTTCCTGGAGAATCCCATGGACAGAGGAGCCTGGAGGGCTACAGTTGGTGGGGTTGCAAGGAGTTGGACATGACTGAGCACACATGCGCACGTGCAAACCTTCATTGCATCCTAAGACCCTCACCCTAAGTACAGTCACAATGAGGGTCAGGGTCTCCATATATGGATTTTGCAGGGACACAGTTCAGTGCTGGGTGCCCAGTGATGGTTACCATCCCATAAACATCAGGCAAACTCATGCTGGTGTTTATCCTACAGACTCCGGCTTTCTGAAGGATAGCATTACTCACCACTTCCCTCTGCAGATGAGCGGCCAGAACATGAGCTCCCACACACACCCACGCACCCACCTTCCCTGCATGATTAGAGCCAGGAACGAGCTGGTGACTCACTTGGCTCCAAACACTTTGCTATTCAAGTGAGAAACCAACAGATGAGAAGGGCCTGAAGGGCTTGTTGCCCAACAGGGATCAGAACTCTCATGTCTGGTTTCCTGGGCAAAGCAGTTTCTCATGTCTCGAGTTTTTCAGCAACTTGGCTATTGGTTAGAACCATCAGGCAGCAAATGATGTACATCCCCCAGAAAGTGCCCCCCCCCACATACAAACACACACACACACACACACACACACACACACACACACACACTCCCTCTCTCTGTCTCATTTCATCAAACAGCATTCCCCCCCACTCCCCCAGCCCAGCACCACTAGCACGGCCCTTCAGGGCATCTCACTTCAGCTCCATTCAGTTCAGTTCAGTCACTCAGTTGTGTCCGACTCTTTGCTACTCCATGGACTGCAGCATGCCAGGCTTCCCTGTCCATCACCAACTCCTGGAGCTTGCTTAGACTCATGTCCAGGAGTTTAAGCTTCAACGTCAGTCCTTCCAATGAATATGCAGGGCAGATTTCCTTTAGGATGGACTGGTTGGATCTCCTTGCAGTCCAAGAGACTCTCAAGGGTCTTCTCCAACACCACAGTTCAAAAGTAACAATTCTTCGGTGCTCAGCTTTCTTTATAGTACAACTCTCACATCCATACATGACTACTGGAAAAATCATAGCTTTGATTAGATGGACCTTTGTTGGCAAAGAAATGTCTCTGCTTTTTAATATGCTGTCTAGGTTGATCATAGCTTTTCTTTCAAGGAGCAAGTGTCTTTTAATATCATGGCTGCAGTCACCATCTGCAGTGATTTTGGAGCCCCCCCAAAATAAAGTCTGTCACTGTTTCCATTGTTTCCCCATCTATTTGCCATGAAGTGATGGGACCGGATGTCATGATCTTAGTTTTCTGAATGCTGAGTTGTAAGCCAACTTTTTCACTCTCCTCAGGGCATCTGGACCATTGAAAATATTGCTAAAAATCCTAAGAGCTGACCACAGGGGCTGGTGGGGCCAGCAGTCAGAATCATAAGGGTTTGCTACAACCACTGTGAATCAATATGTTGTTCTGTGTGTAAACTTTGGAAAATGGATCTACCCACATGCAGCGGGGTGATGAGGGGGTGGTGCTTCATGATAGAGTCCCTCAGTGAACGTGGAATGGAAGTGGGTTGTGGTTGTTCTCTGCTGGGTCCTCCATGTATCAGGGGACTGTCAGCCCAGCACTGCCTTCTCTGACCTCCAGTTTCTTGATCCGGAAACCAAGAGGGCATCCTGGGCTTGACTCCATCTGGGAGTCACCAGATGTGGCCCGATTCCTGTCCTACAATTCTGACCAAGGGCTCCTCCTCCTGCCCTGCATGGTTGCTCTCCTGGGATGAGCCAAGTCCAAGGCCAAAGCAGGAAAATCTGAATCCAGACTTGGAGGTGACGGCAGTGGGGTGCAGTCAGTGGGCTAGAGTCATGGCCTTCACCATTGAGTTGTTTTCATTGCCACCAGATGTACAAAACCTTGAGGAGTTCTGAACCTTTTTCTAAGCAGAACAAGAGCCTTTCTGGAGGCCACAGGCCTGGGACATATCCTTGAGCACCTCTAAAAACCCCAGACTGGCCCACCTTTCTCCCTGGCAGGTGCCCCTCCAGCTGGGGCAGCACAGGGGGTCTGGGCAGAACCTTGGGGCCTTCCTCCTGCTCCTTCTCCCCAGCCAGGCCCGAGCTGGCAACATCTCCCATGCCAGCCCTGGACACACCTGTCAAAACAGAGCCACAGGAGAGGAGAGCGGAGAGTGGAAAGCTGACAAACACGATCTGACCATACCGTGTTTTCCAGCAGGGCGGGCCCAGCTAGCAAGGAGCTGCCTGGACACATAGGTGGGTGGTGTGCTGAGCAGACTCCCTGGGCATTTATTTTCCTTGCCTGCACCTGTTCAGTCCTTTTATTTTCTCTTGAATGCTTCAAAGGGCAAGGCTCTGTGTCTGATGGCATGGGAGAGACACAAAGGCTAGTGCCATGCACTCAGTGGGGACAACCACCTGGGAGCCAGTGAAAATGCAGGCTGCGGGTCTGCACCCCAGACCCATTGCTTTAAGACCACAGAGATGGGGTGGGATAGGAGGAATGAGGGGGAGAAGTCTCTAGGGCATTCTGATGCCCCCATATAAAATTTGAGAACCAGGAATGTAAGAAACAA